GAGCGACAGCTGTTCACTTTCAGCACACAAATCAATACTGTTTCACGCAAAGTTTATTCTTACGCGAAAACAAAGCCATCGCAGATCTGCGACCATATGACTGCTTATGCTAATCTCCACATATTGTCCTTTCCCGTTTCGGGGAAATCACCCTTCATCACCAGCCTAGCTTTTTGGAAGAAGACAATTGATGCCATTTTCAGGAGATTCTCCAGATTGGAAAGCAAAGCTGCGACCATAATAAAGGCAGCGACGAGGTTTTAAAGCTTTTCAATGTTATTACACTTAGCTCCTAACGAGCCCAAGTAACCCGTAATGCGGGCAAAGTGTAGCTGGCATGAAAGGTGTTAGTGGTCTTCATGTAGCTGATACTAAAACATTGGCTGATGGAACACGACATTTGGAAATCCATACAAATGGCCTTACTCATTACGCAATGGGTCTAAAAATATATCTTTCATGAGTGTCAACGGGACAGAGGCTCATTCAATTCGCGTTCGCGCGGCGCTGAAAAAAGAGCCGGCTTGGCAATCAGCCAGCTATGGGTTTGGCCACCCGCGGGCGCGGTTAATAAACTCGATGATCTTGTAAAAATTAGCGCTTCCGACAAATGTGAGCCAGGCAGAGCAAAACCAAAAATAAAAACAAAAAGAATAAAAACCATTTTAGATAGATGCTAGAACTCACCGAAAATGTCTCTATCCTGGCAGTTGCGTGGCCCGCGCCCGAGAGCCATTGACCGGCTGAACATGTTGACCAACATTTATCAATGCGATTGTTCATTCTGCCCCTAGCCAAACGATGTTTGTTTCCTATTCCCGCGACCCTCGGTCATGAAAATCTGGCCCATTTTTAACTTATCCTGAGCAACGTTTTGCAACAAAAAATTTTGCACTTTTTCAAACTATTTCAATAAGGAAGACCACACTCTGTTCGTGTTGCCATAACGCAAAGCAATTTCGCATGATCAGATATGTTGTACTCAAATGTCCTGCAATACACGTGGCAAAAATGTCAGAAATGGTTTTATTTAAGTTCTCCAATCTGCGTCTAATGCCGATTGATAACGTACATAAACTAGTGTCGCCTGGTTGCTGATTGAGGGTCAATAACATCAGCATAAAAACTATGGCCTCATTTTGCCGAAAAAGTAGCAGCAAAGCGCCTCTCCTGCTCATTAAGCATCTCTTAAAGTAAAAAATAGGCATAAAATTATCCCTTTGAACCTCAACAATGCTTTTGTCATCGCATAACCAAACAATTATTTTCGTCTTTCTCATCAGGGACACAACTGCACAATAAGCTATGTTCCCACAGTGTAGGACCAGCTACATCAGGAAACTACATCTCGATTGACGTGGGTTTTTAGCCCCGGACGCACCTCAATTACATCATCACAAGCCTCTTGCAGCCGCCTGAGTATACTGACGTTTGTTTGCTCGTAGTCACTTAGCTGACGGCGTGTTTTGACTGACGCTGTCCTGGCCGTTGCAGAAATACAACGGGTTCAGGCGGATATCAGAACGGCGGGACGGCCTGAGGTCAGATACAGTGACGTCACGAAGGAGAAGCCCATTCGGCTTATGGCCAGGGTGCTTGTCCCCGTCAAAGATCATCCCAAGGTATGTGGCCCCCAAGCAGAGGGCATTAGTTACCAAGCGAAAAGAAAGATGGCGTGCCTACATAAATACAAAGTACGTTTTGACACTAGCATTGTGCTATGAATGCCACTATGATCATTCTAAGTGAATGTCATGTTTTCTATGTTCCTGCAGGAGCTCTGCATGGCAAACATTTTCAACGCTTTGTCGATCAATGACCTGACAACCAGCAACTGCATGCATGCAGTCATGGTACATTTGTGCTTACTGGACCAGTCCGATATATATATATATATATATATATATATATATATATATATATATATATGTCACTTCACCTGGCTGAAGGCGAGATTAGAACAGCTGAACGACACCACATCGTCACAGTTAAAGTAATGGGCAGTTGCCTGATTTAAGTCACAAATTTTGGGTCCAATACCTGCCGGTCCAAGGGTATAGTGGACGGAACAAGCTCAACATTTGGGCTCAATTCTCTGTGTTAGAGGAAGTCCTTCCTCGAGAACAAAAGAAGGCGCTAGGACCGAACGGTCACGTCAGTTTTCTCGCAGGTCGCGTTTGTTCTCCAGAACTGTTTGGATAATAAGGTGGAGCAGGCATATCCCCCAGTTTGAATCATAAGGGTGATGAGGTCGGCGCCCATACAACAAGCTGCGCTTGGCAGGCATATGCCACTCGACGTGCACCAAGTCCTACTGACAACGCATTGCAACGCATCCCGGGCGATCTACATATGGAGTAGCTTACTGATCGTAAACCTCTCAACAACTCGCCAACATATTCGAAACTGTGGTCGAAGACTCCAGTGGATACTTAGGGCGGTTGGACACGATATAGCGCCCCATTACAGTCGATCTTGGCCGTAAAGGATACCGAACCACCACGCTGCAAATCGCGCTTAATGTCGGCCATGGAACATTAGTTGATGTCAAGAGAACCACCACACCACGGGAATGCCAGGCTGCTGCCGCATGCAAAGGTCAACTTACATCGATCGTCAATGTGGCGGTTGCAAAAGCAGCATGTCAGGTACACCCGACTCTCTTCACCAGCCCTGGCTGTCGCAACAGGGAGGTGACACCGAGACTCGCGCTGAATTAGGACAAAAACTGATCGGGCTTTTCACACACTGCGAGGTCTTCAGTCCTGGCAATGTTAGACCTTTAAGCCAATTATGTTTTTCCTAAGGCCTGCCTGACCAGCATGTGGCTCATCAAAGTATTTCTTATGCTCACGCAGTGCGTCCTTGGTTTGGGTTTTGTTAGCAATTCTGTCAGTAGAGTTACACCCTTTCTGACCCAAGGTGATCTCTGCTTTATATTCATGACAGAAGGCATGACCGAGAGGCACAAATACCACGCTTAAGAGACTTAACTTTCCGCATCCGTCCGATAAATTTGACAGTAGTTGGATGCCGTTTGTTCTCCTCTGGTTATCATCCTTACACCAAACTTATGCATCGTGCGCGCACGCAGCATCAGACCCATGCAACCAGGCTGTCCACACATCCTCATCTTTCGGAATCATTTTCCAGAAGTTTAAAGTCCTGTTTTGCCACGCGTGAAGCCATGCGGGCTTGCATGTAGACGGACGTCCGTGCAGCCATTTATGCTGTGCGTTTGAAGCACGCGAACACATATAAACAAGCAGAGAGAGCTGTTTACATGTGTCTGTAGAACGCCACTGACTTTGACTCTTACATGTTAACAGCCTTATGACGCAACCTTGAAATAATTGGCATAACAAAGCCTTTACGGTAAAAATTATCCAGAGATATCTATGTACAGAACGTGGGTGAGAATGGAATAGCGTGCTGCGTCCAAACTAGCAGCACCCTAGTCGTTATTCTGATATGGCCCTGACATTGATCTATAGAGGAAGCATATAACTGGTTTCTAATTACGCAAGTTGTTCGGGGCATTAGTGATGAACATTATTCACATAGATAAGACAGAAGCAGTACACTTATTTCCCAGAGAAAAACGAGGAGAATGGAGATGTAGTTGGGCCGATATTTCGGCAACATGCCATTATTGAAACAATAGCAGAAGTGGCTATGCGTGTCCACGTGCTTCAAACCCTTCTGCTATTGTTTCGATAAAGGCATGTTGCCGAAATATTAACCCAACGATACCTCCTGGTGTCCAACCATATCTCCTGGTGCCCGGATTTGGACCCAGAGCTTAAGCTGCATGAAGTAACTTTAAAAAACCGAGCAAGGTTTACAGACTGTCTGTTCACTACATGTATCATCAAAACAATATTAAAAATAATCATTCGTACTGGATGATGGTTTCGGTACATGGACTGCGCACTCAGACCTGCGGACCGTTACAGTTTAATTTCGTGGGGAAGCTGCTGGGTCCGAAGGGAAACTCCCTGAAGCGTCTGCAGGAGGAGACGCTGACCCGCATGGCCATCCTGGGCCGCGGCTCCATGAGGGACAAGGTCAAGGTGAGATGGATGGTGCTCCTGTTTACGCTTTAGTTGGAAGTGTGCAATTACGTGAGACCTGCAGTTTTGTGGCTGCCATTGATTTTGAAAGGTGAACACTGACGGATCGGCATTGCATTCGCTTTGATCACAAAAAGCTTCACAAGTACAGATCAGGTTTTTTCCGAAAAGGTGTAACTACACCAACAATGCTAGGAAGAAAGTCAGGACCAGATAAACCACATCTCCACGCTTTTGATAACATTTTACATTAACCCAGTGACAATGCATGATATTAATAGATTTGGTATTAGACTTGCCCCCCCCCGCCACTTTTTAAAAGTTTCTGAAGCATCCAGGTAGAGCCACAACACAAAAATCAACATGTAACTCTGCATTGAATGCATTTAATGATGCCCTGTTTGACCCCTGAAGGCAGCCGACCAATTACTCTCCGGGTCATGAATATGTATCCAGATTTGTGAGGGCAGAATACAACAGAAAACAATGGCAGCTTTTCGGAACATAGATCGTCACTTTGTCACACGGCACGACACTTTGTCAGACAAAAATGCCACATATATTTTTTTTACTCGACTCCGTACGAAAGGGGATCTAAGGCAGCCTTACTGTCAAACGATATCATAGTTCACTGACGTTTTTTGGCCTTCGAAAATTCATTAATCCACTCAGCGTGAGGTGTGACTTCAGGCCTTTACTGTCTTTGGTCGAAAGGCTCGGCTCCCTGGCCGTATCCAGCAAAAGCCGTCATTTAGCATAAATGTTTACACACGCACACACAGACATACACACACACACACACACACACACACACACACACACACACACAACACACACCACACACACACACACACACACACACACCACACACACCACACACACACACACGACCACACACACACCACACACACAACACACCACACACAC